CTCATATGATCACCAAAGTTAAACAATGTAGAGCTTGGTCAGTATCTAGATGGGTGACTGCTTGGGAATACCAGGTGCTGGGAGCTTGGATGTGTGGGTGGTGTAATGGATAACATTTGGAAATCAGACAGCTAAGTTCCAATTACTGTCAGGCTTGCTATATTCACTTACAGGAAAGGTATGAATCCACCTTTTCCCCCCTCCTAGCTATGGGCTAATTAGTATGACTTGTATCTTCTTTTTTCTTTTTGCGCTGTGTCTCCTCAGGATGTGGGTAATCATGGCTCTCCACAACTACCTGTCCTTTGTAGCTCTTAATTAACTGTTATTTTTCCTAAGCCCCGTTTCATCATCTATTTATTCAAGCTCCCCAAGTATAATATGTGTCGTTTTCCTCTGTCTCTCGTGCTCTCTATCTGCACCATGTATTTTAGAAATGTTCTCAAAATATTTTTGTCTTTAAATAACCTGCAAAAGGTTGATAATCCATAAAAAAAAAAAAAAAAAAAAAACAACAAATCAATGAATTTAGGTATAAACCTTAGTCATAGCAGATACATAAGTGAAAGGAATTAAAAGAAAGAACAAATAAAGAATTGAGTGCAAAAAAAGAACTTACAAATTTCCATAGCTTCTGCTCTACCAATTTCAGATTGGGGAAAATGTGCCGTCATTTCATCACCATCAAAATCCGCGTTGTATGCTTTGCAGTTGGCGTAGTGCAATCGGAAGGTTTTGATGTTTGGAATAATACGAGCCTGTTGAAATGAAACCAGGAGAAGATGTTTTACAGACATGCAGTCAAAATGCAGATCAACTTATTTTGTAAACATACACCGCATCTCCCCCTTTCAGTATTTCACAATGAATGGACAAATCATCCCACATTGGCGTCTCAATTCTAGTCTCCATAGGTGAGCTTAACAATAATTTCCTGTTGTGAAGTGACAATTGTAAAGTAAGAATTTGGCTTTTTCATCCATAAAAGCATTCAAAGAAAGCTAACATGGAACAAGAGAAAGAAACAGCAAATATATTAGGAACATGGTCTTGCAACTTCGGTTATTATGCCAATTCGAGCATGTTTACTTGAGACTGCAAAGAGTAATTTCCCATGATACCATAATAATGGAATATCTCATATTACTAAATATGGAGATTGGCTTTCTGGGATGAGCAATTATCTTTATTTACAGTATGCAAGCTCACAAGGAAATGAAAGATGAAAATAAACAAGAATTGTTGGTGGATTAGTTGATTTTGTTTAGCAGCACATAAACACCTCTATGGGTTATTTAATGCCGAAATTTAAATAATTTGAACACAATTTTATGGCTTCAACTAACTATATTTTAAACACAATCATATGCCTTCAACTACACATAAAATGTATTGCTGGTTATGTATTGTAGGTATTTTTTTTATATAAAAATGTATTGCTGGTATTTATACTATTAAAATGTATTTTTAAACGTTCATAGTGTTTTGGCTTGGGTGGGGGGAGGCTCATTATTTGCCCTTAGCTGAGACCCAATCTGAGAATGACAGCAATTAAGAGATGGTTCCACACTCCTCAAAACCTCCAATCTCCCAATCAGAGGCATTGCTGCCAGATGTAGTTTATTGTCATACCCAGGACTTAGCAAGAATTGAAAAGTGAACTCCGCTTCCAATATATTCAGCTGTTTATTCAGATTCACTTGTACAGTCTATGGTGGGGTAGGTAGGTGATGCTTGCAACTACTTCTGCTACCTTTCTCATGACAGACAAATGGACAAGAGCTTTCCTTCGGCCAACAAGAACTCAGTTTCCTCCTACTCCTCTGTTCATCCCTGCAGTATGCTGTACAGCTTGCAACCACTTAATGAACAATCTAGATTCTCTCTCTCAACAGATAGCTTGTACCCTGCTGCTTGTTGCTACCTCAACACAAGAGAGCCCAGCCAGCCCTGCTGAACCTTTTCATCTATCTTCAGGCTGGATTTACATTCAGGGTTTCCCTTTTTGTAGACTGGTTGCCACCTCACGGAAAGAGGACTCATCCAGCCCTGCTTATAGGTTAAATGGCAAGAGGTTGATTCATGCCTTTTGCAAAGGTATTTGTACAAAAGTGAAATTATTGAACTTGATTTCTCTTTCCAATTCACTAACCATGGCACTACCTGAACATCTAGGTGTTAACCAAAGTCAACAATTAAACAATCCAGCAAACTAAGGGGTACAACTTTGTGTGCAAAGGCAAATACTACTTTGCCAATGTCTTCAGGTCATGTATAGCGATTTGCTAAGTGTAACTTAAACGTGGCACAAGGCCAAAAGAACGGAGCACCCAGAGAGACTCAAATTCACTGCTCAGTCAATAATTGATCAAGCAAGCAATTCCAATGGAATTGTACAAATGTATAACAAAAATAAAACTTACCCGATGGGCCTGCATACTTGGCTTGTGTAAAGTAGGCTGACGATTGACCAAAAGATAATCCCCAGGTATGAGGTGACGATTCACCTGAAAGAAAAAAAACAAAGAAAAACAAAGCCATTGAAATTAAATAAGAACTATTTCTTTATTAAAGATCATTAAACACAGTAGAAAAGATGTACATTAGAATTTTAGGATTGAATGAACAATTTTATCCTTATAAATAAGTAGACTCCAACTGTTGCTGCTATAATTTTTTTTTTTTTAAAGCATTTTTTGTGAAATACTTATGTCAGGTTTACCTGCACACATATGTGGATAGAGTAGGTAGATTTTGGAACCATGGTATTGTACTCAATTTGAAAGTTGGGATTTGACATGATAAATAATGACACAAATTTTTTTCTTTTTTTAAAATCTTTACCATCTTTTGAGAAACAAGTTTAAAGATTAAGGTTAGGTTTATTTTTCAGTTGAGAGAGAGAGAGGAAGAAAGAAAAAAAGAGAGAGAGAGAGAGGAAGAAAGAAAAAAAGAGAGAGAGAGAGGAAGAAAGAAAAAAAAGAAGAAAGAGAGAGAAAGAGAAGAAAGAAAAAGAGAGAGAGAGAGAGAGAAGAAAAAAAGAGAGAGAGAGGAAGAAAGAAAAAAAAAAGAGAGAGAGAGAGAGAAGAAAGAAAGAAAAAGAGAGAGAGAGGAAGAAAGAAAAAGAGAGAGAGAGAAGGAAGAAAGAAAAAAGAGAGAGAGGAAGAAAGAAAAAAAAGAGAGAGGAAGAAAGAAAAAGAGAGAGAGAGGAAGAAAGAAAAAGAGAGAGAGAGGAAGAAAGAAAAAGAGAGAGAGAGAAGAAAGAAAAAAAGAGAGAGAGGAAGAAAAGAAAAAGAGAGAGAGGAAGAGAAAAGAAAAAAGAGAAGAAAGAAAAAAAAGAGAGAGAGAGGAAGAAAGAAAAAAGAGAGAGAGAGGAAGAAAGAAAAAAGAGAGAGAGAGGAAGAAAGAAAAAAGAGAGAGAGAGGAAGAAAGAAAAAAGAGAGAGAGAGGAAGAAAGAAAAAAGAGAGAGAGAGGAAGAAAGAAAAAAAGAGAGAGAGAGGAAGAAAAAAGAGAGAGAGGAAGAAAGAAAAAGAGAGAGAGGAAGAAAGAAAAAGAGAGAGAGAGGAAAGAAAAAGAAAAAGAGAGAGAGAAGAAAGAAAAAAAAGAGAGAGGAAGAAAGAAAAAAGAGAGAGAGAGGAAGAAAGAGAGAGAGGAAGAAAGAAAAAAAGAGAGAGAGGAAGAAAGAAAAAGAGAGAGAGAAGGAAGAAAGAAAAAGAAAGAGAGAGAGGAAGAAAGAAAAAGAGAGAGAGAGGAAGAAAGAAAAAGAGAGAGAGGAAGAAAGAAAAAAGAGAGAGAGAGGAAGAAAAGAGAGAAGGAAGAAAGAAAAAAAGAAGAGAGAGGAAGAAAGAAAAAAAAAAAAAAAAAAAAAGAGAAAAGAATGAAAGAAAAAAAAAAAGAAAAAAAAGAAACAAATGTGAAAAGAAAAAAATGAAGAGGGGTTAATATTAATTATGAGCAGTGAAAGGTTAAGCCTAAAATTGAATATAAGCTGAGAGAAAGAGAGAGGGTGGAGACATTTTCTTTAGTGGAGATGGGGCCATCTGGATCTCTTCTCTCCTATAGTGTTTTTTTTTTTTTTTTTTTTTTAAATCTGTTGAGAGTCTGGCATGTGGCCAAAACCATATTTAGACATATTTTTGTCTCTTGCTCAGAAATTTAAATGTTAAAACATTTTTTCCTGAGAGTCAAATAGGGCAGACATTTTGAAAATGAATCCTGTCAACAGTGATCTGGTTTGTATTTTCATCGAACAGAGATAAGTCTCAGAATTAAGAAATAATTTTATCTATTCCTTGAAGAATTAAGAAAACATTAATGAGGAGAAAAAGAGACTGACAGGGCTTATATTTTTGATGATGAAAATGAATTGTGAAATTTAAACAAAAGAACAAACCATTTGTGGAAAAGAAGCCAGTGCCTACCTTTTTGCCAGTGATGATCCCTTTGTTGCTGGTAGCCGGAGTGAGAAGCTGATTGGCTATTGATTCACGCTGGGTACGGTTATCGGCATATAGACGCCTTTTTACTCCATACTGATCAACCACAGAATGGGCACTGGAAGTGAGAAAAAGAGAAAAATAATTGCATAATCAAAATAAATGTCATTATATCAGCTTTTTGCCTTCAGTTCATTTTTGGTGTTACAAGTTTTGTTAGTCTCTCAACTGCCCTCTACACACAATAATCAAGGGGGTTGCAGTCTGGGGTGTTAGGCAACCAGCTGTAAGGAGTGATGTGGTCACAGAAATTGTCTAATATGACTGGGTTCTCCTGCTTGTATGGCATGGTGCCATGTTGCCAGATATATGGTCTTCCAGCATCTACCCTCTTGACCCAGGGCAGCACTACCCACTCAAGGCGCTTGATGTAGACATAGTCTGAGGCCCTGTGCAAAGATGAATGGAGGAATAATGTCAACATCACTATTGATCACTCCAAACACCTTCATAATCACCATTAGACTCATCCAACTCTTTCCAAATCCTCTGCACTGTCCTCAGATTGACACCCAGAGTCTCTTCATATTAAAGCTTCTGGCACAAATACCAAATTTCTGGCAGAGTGAATTGCATCATGGTGCACTTTTTTTCTCTCAAAGATGGTGCCCAACTAACCCTACTATACTGTGCAGTCAACAAAATCAAAAACTAACAACACATGTGCAAAATTAAAAATATAAAATGGAGACAATTTACCCATCACACCCTATATGCTAAAATTTTTTTTAAAATGTAGCATAAATATTTGAAGTGATTGCTTTCATTAAAAATGACCAACAGTGGTCAAAATACTGAAAACATTACACACAATTTCCACAATTTCTTTTTCAAAACAGACACACCATGTCTCTTGTATTCAATAAAACATTTTTAAACAAAGGACTTCTGTCTGTTTTCATTACAGACAAATTTAATTCTTCACAGATGAAGAGAAAACTAGAGGCAACAGAAATGCGGTTCTACAGAAAGATACTCAAAATACCATGGACTGAACATGTAAGCAATGAGGAAGTTCCAAGGAAAATGGCAACAAAAAGGACACTCATACTCAGAAACAGAAAGAGACATGAAATTTCTTGTACACATGATGAGAAAAGGAAGGCTTGAAAAACTTTATGATTTTCTTTATCAATTGAGAACACGAGAGAGTGTGTTTATAATATTGGTAGTGTCAAATCAAATGCGATTTTTCAGATTTTTTGGACTCGGTTGTTTTCCATACGAAAAACAAACATTTGTGGTGGGTGGAGGTTGAGAAAAGATTTCTTGTAAATAAGGAACCAATGGATATATACATTCTTAATTAACAAACAAAAATTATATAAATTAATCGAAGTATGTATACATTTAGTCTTCATTTAATATAGATAATTATGAACCTCAAATTTTAGTGTATATGCTTCTGAAAAAATTCCATACAAAAAAGTTAAAAAAAAAAGAAAGAAAGAAGAAAAAAGAAGAAAAAAAAAAGAAAAAAAAAAAAAGAAAAAAAAAAAAAAAAAAAAAAGAAAAAAAAAAAGAAAAAACAAAAGAGTTTAAGAAAAAACAAAAGAGTTTAAGAAAAAACAAAAGAGTTTAAGACAAACAGTTTAAAAAAACTTAAAAAGTTTAAAAAAAAAAAGAAATGAAGTTTAGAAAAACTGTTTAATGATGAGAAAGGAAGGCTTGGAAAAAATGACACTCCCAGGGTATATCAATAAGCAAAAAGGAGCAGAGAGAGGGAGCAGGCCACCTGCCTGATGAGCTTGTGTATGAATGTTAGAGGTTTGGGGGTGGGGGCAAACAGACAAAAGTTACTAAGAGCTACAAAGAATAGGAAGTTGTGGAGAGACACAATCACCCACATCATGAAGGGACATAGCACAGAGAAGAGTCCATTTTACACACATACAAACATAATAATTAAAAAAATCAAAATCTTACCCAGGGTATACATCAGGTCCATTAATGACCATCTGTCGGAGTTCATGGACATTCCAGGGTGTTACAGGCTGTGGATAGGTAAGGGTCATGGCAAAAACTTTTGGCACTCCAATTTCTGAAACACTAATGTTGGGGTCAGGAGTGATGACAGATCTGGCTGCAAAATTTACTCTTTTGCCCATCATATGTTTCCGGAACAATCCCTCTTTCTTCTCTAAAATCTATGATGAAAAAACAAAAGAAAAAATTTGAAGTACTGTTTCAAAATGGTAACGTTTTTCTCTACTTTTTATTAAATGTTCATTCTCTCGGTCAGCAATACAAATTTCAATGCATCGGATTCAACAACTTTGCTTGAAATGAATGCATTTTGATTTGTGTGCACATAGAGTTGTAGAGGAAAAGAGATATGAAAACCAACTGATTATTAAAGACAAGACATTCATCTACAAGAACATGTATTCATTCATTTTTTTTTTATTATTTTAGGTGCTGAATTTTTATGGTATTTTATCCATTAAAATTTTTATGGTATTTTATCCATTAAAATTTTCAACTTAGAAACTTTTTTGTGAAAACAACTTCAAACTGTATCTTAAACCCACCAACAGTCATCTTTTTTTTTAAAGATGAAACTATTTGGATATGTGTAAGGAGACAACTCAAAGCCCAACAAGTTTTATTAGCTTTTTACCTTTTTTGAGAAACTCTTAAAAAGACATAATCAATGCCAAATTGGTTCATCATCTCTCATCACATGGCCTTTCTTCAGACAAGCAATATGGCTTTCATTTCTCCAGGTCAACTGCTGATGTACCAATGATAATTGTGGAAAGAGTCTATCATACTCTAGACAAAAACAGTGAAGCCCGGGCTTTAGCATTGGACATCTCAAAAGCCTTTTACAGGGTTGGGCATACAGGTCTTCTCCACAAGGTGAAAAATTATGGTGTCTCCAGAAACATTTTTGAATTGATCCAGTCTTTCCTACGAAAGTTATCCTGAACTGCACCAT